AGAAAATGAAGATTTAGGACCACATGTACTAATGGTGAGACCAGGGTGGCGCTGTTGTCACATCTAGCCCTAATTCTGATCTATCTTGGCCTGGCTCTGGGCTGTTTGAGTCCTCTAAGAGAACTCCTAGTCCACAGTGCCCAAATCTGGGGGTGATTTGGGCACCACAGACTTGCCAGGGCCCTTTTGGAAGCCTCCAAGAGGGCAACTTTGTTGTCTGGCAGAAGGCTCTGTATCCCATTTTAATAAGGCCTTCTGATAGCTTAGGGACAAGCCAGAAAGCATCTCATTCCAGAGGTTTCCCAACCATAACAAAGGCTCCCCTAAAAGACATGTAAAGCAATATGGGCTTTACCTCCCCCTTTATCCCTTTCCTGCAGATTTTTATTAGCCAAGCAAATTTAACCATATTCTTCCTTGATGAAAATATGACCATGGCTCCCTAATGCCTTTAAGAGAAAGCCTCAATTCTTATCATCCTCCATGCCATAAACCAAATATTTACCTCCTAAAATTCCTACAACCCTATGCATTCTAGACTTAGGCTATCTGGGAAGTCAGAGAGCTGTGTTCTATACAAGTTAACTATGGTGACTGTATAGATAGGGTCCTTTCCTTTGTGAAACTTCAGTTTCTCCTCTTATCTACCTCTCTTATCTTTTTCTCCTTTGATGTTCCACAGCTATAATGCCCACATGACCTATAGAGGCTGCTGAGGCCATCATGGAACAAAAGCCAAAGCCCCACAGTGTATGCCTCAATCCTAACATACTTGAGAGCTTATGCTCAATGAGGTGTATCCCAGGCTTGGGCTTGGTGGCTCATGTCTGTAATCCTAGCACTTTAGGAGGCCGAGGCAAGTGGATTGCTTGAACTCAGGAATTTGAGACCAGCCTCAGAAGAGCAAGACCTGTCCCTAGGGCATCACTCACATACATCCAGTCTGGCGGGTTCCAACCTGGCCCCGGCCAGCTAAACAACAATGACAACTACAACCAAAAAATAGCTGGGCATTGTGGCAGGCACCTTAGTCCCAGCTACTTGGTAGACTGAGGCAACAGAATCGCTTAAGCCCAGGAGTTGAGGTTGTTGTGAGCTGTGACGCCATGGCACTCTACTGAAGGGTACATAGTGAGACTCTGTCTC